TGAGATCTAGGCTGGGCCTTCTAGTTTCACAGGACCATCACAGGGACTCCCAAGCCATCCCCTATCTGGTCTTGAACGCCAGTGGTCACATCCTGTTCCCTGAGTACCTCCTCACTCCACTGAGTCCCACTCTCGCCACTAAACCACAAGCCACGTTTTCCCGTGCAGTCTTTCCACAGCAGAGGAAGGCCCAGGTGCCTAGCTGTGACATCCACGGTGACTTACCTCTTGCCCAACCTCCCTGTCCTGCTTCCTTTCCTCTGTCCCCCGATACCCATCCGGCAAGCCTGTGCCACGCCGGCTCCCCGCCAGCCTGTCCCTCGCAGGCCCTCTGCCAGCTCTGCTTTTGCAGACATTTCTCTTCCTGGAATCCCTTCTTGGCACTTCTCCCTTGGGCCCAGGTCCCACATCATTGCTTTCGCAAACTTCCCCTCCTCGCCTCTTCTGTCCTCTCGATCCCAGGCGGCCCCCATGCCCGAGGTGACCTGGCTGAAGGATGGCCTGCCCTTGCCCAGAAGAAGCGTGACCACCACCAAAGATGGCCTCACCCAGCTTCTGATTCCTGCAGCCAGCCTCTCAGACAGCGGCCACTACGCTGTGGTGCTGAGGAGCCTGCAGGGGACAGAGGCCGCCTACCGCTTCCTCGTCAAGGTGGCGGGTGAGATGGGCCGGGCTCCGGGCTCCAGAACAGGGACGTGTCTGTCTGGCCTGGCCTCAGGTCTCAGCTGTTCTACCAGACCTGGCTAGGCAAGGTGGCAGACAGCACATCACCCTCCCTGTGCGACTGAAGGGGGGAAAGGGGAAAGGCCAGGGAAGGTCCCCAAGGGGCTTCCAAGAACTTAGGGGCGGTTCTGCCACAGCCTCCCCAGACCTGGTTGAGTGTTCTTTTTGAGCCAGTGAACCAAGGTGGTCACGGCCACTGCAGCCCAGGGGAGACCCCTAGGAAGACGGTCTGTGGCCCTCTCCCAGGGAAAGGGTGTTCTCCACTCACATGACCCACACACAGCCCCACTCAGGAGGGGTTCGGGTTTACAGAAATGCTGAAATAGTGTGTGGGGTGGGGGTGGGGGGTGTACTGTGACCTTGTGAACCCTACCTACACCCAAAAGTGCTCATGACCTGTGTCATTCAGAACTAAGGTGGATTAAAGTGATCTGGCGAGGGAGGCTTTCCACTCTTTGGAGGTAGCTGGAGATCCCCTGGCCCCGTGCTCTCTGGTACCCACTCCCTGCCTGCAAGGCTGCTTCCTCCAGACTGCAGAGACTTGGGACCAGGCGGGCCACGGCAGAAGGCCTGCTGGGTGTCCTCCAACACGGGCCCCTCTGCCCTCTCCTGCAGCGTGCCCGCAGGCGCCAGGGCCCATCCGCCTGCAGGAGAACACGCCGGGGACAGTGACAGCCGAGTGGGAGCCCTCCCCAGACGAGGCACGGGGCGGGCTGTACTACACGGTGCTGACACGCTCCTCGGCATGTGGCTCCTGGCGTGAGGCAGCTGACCGTGTCCACACCAACCGCTTCACCCTCCTGGGCGTCCTCCCGGGCCATGAGTACCACTTCCGGGTAGTGGCCAAGAATGAGGCGGGGGCCAGTCAGCCCTCAGACACCAGCGAGCCCTGGTGCATCCCTCGGCTGCGAGGTGAGTGGTTCCTGGGGAGAGCACAGTGAACCCTGGGGTAGCGGGATGTGGGAGATGGGGCCCAGGGACAGCTATGGTAGAGACGAGGGGCAGGTCCACATTACAGCAGGACCCGAGCCCAGCGGCACCCACAGCCATTCCTCTCCCACCACCTGCCCATGCCCACCTGTACCCAGCTCCTCTGTAGGCCCGACCAAGTTCCCGCCTCCCCGGTGAGAACAGGTGGGCTGTAGGTGCTTGGGTGTCTCGGAGGACTTTGGCTGGGTTCTCAAAAGCAGTGGCCAGGGAACCAGCAGTTAGCGTGATGGCTATGTCGCTGGATTCTCACGTAGTCGACCGCAGTTCGTGTCCCGGACCCAGTGGCTTAAAACTCACGCCGGGCGCGTGTGCGTGCGTGCCCAAGATCCCGAGAGGAGAATGGAGGAGAAGGGATTGCGGCATGACCATCCCCCCGGGGGGTGATTTCTCGCTTTCTGTCTCTATGTCTCTCTCTGTCTGTCTGGCGAGCGCACGCACCCTACAGTGAAAATCTCTCCAAAAAAAAAAAAAAAGCAGTGGCCAATGGCAACATTAAGAGAGGTTAACACTTCTCTGAAAACAAAGTGAATTTTATAGTCAAATAGATGTAGACCTGAAAAGCAGTCAGTAGACAAAGCAGGTTATAAAAATTGGATGAATGATTTAATTTTTGTAAAATACAAAACATCCAGAGGATTCTACACCAAATGTTAGGCACAGTGAAATATGGTTGGTTTTTATTCCTTCTTTTGATTCCTCGTGTATCTTTTTAAAGAATTGGTTATTTAGGGTCTAGCTGGTAGCATAGTGGTTAAAGCACAGAACTGCTGTGTGGCTGACCATGGTTCTAGTCCTGGACCTGGTGCCTTGAAACTCGTCCCAGGTACATGTGCATGCATGCCCAAAATCCCAAGAGGAGAGTGGAGGAGAAGGAATTGAGGCATGACCAGCCCCCCGGGAGATGATTTCTCACTTTCTGTCTCTCCAGTAAGCATACACGCCCTATAGCAAAAATCTCTCTCAAAAAAAAAAATTATTTTATTCATTATTTTTATTATTTAATTTTCTATAGGGCATATGCACTCGTCAGAGAGAGACAGAGAGAGAGAGAGTGAGAGGGAAAGTGAGAAAGCCAGCCTCCAGATCTGAGACTCGAACTGCGTTCAGCCATGTGGGAGTCCAGCACGGAAACCACCACGCCACCTGTGGGCCCTCATTACCCGTGTGTTTTAGTTTGTTCACAATGACTGCATGTTGGCGTATAGTAATTACATAGATAAAGATGTATGACAAGGATTTTAAGGAGCAAAGCCTTGGGGCTCACGTGAGTATTGCGATGTGCTGGGAATGCCCAGGTCATGCCTAAGCAGCACCGTGAGCTTTCTACCCAGAGCCGGCCCTGCCTGCCCTTCCCACCTGCTGACCTCCCTGGCCTCGCTCACTACAGACAGGTTCGCGGTGAAGGCTGCCAGCTACCGCCAGCTGGACCTGAGCCAGAAGCCCCGGTTCCTGGTGGGCCTGAGGAGCCACCTGCTGCCGACGGGCTGCGAGTGCTGCATGAGCTGCGCCGTGCAGGGCTCCCCTCGGCCCCACGTCACCTGGTTCAAGAACGACCAGAGCCTGGAAGGAAACCCTGCAGTGTACAGCACCGACGTGCTGGGCGTGTGCTCCCTCGTCATCCCCAGCGTCTCCCCGGAAGACAGTGGCCGGTACAAGGCTGTGGCCGAGAACGTACTGGGCCAGGCTGTCAGCACTGCTGCCCTCATCGTCATCGGTGATGGCGGCAGCCCTGGCAGTGAGGATAAGGAGGCGAGGGAGAGCAGCAGTGGCCCACGCGCTCTCAGAGGGCCCTCCCGGGGGCCTGGCCCTGCCTCTAGAGTGACTGGGCTGGGGGTCAGGAGACCAGGACTTTCTGCCTGACTCAGTGTGAACTGTCACTTATCCTGGCCATGGCGGCCTGCTGGGGTGCCATTCACCCACTCGTAAAATGAGAAACACGGGTGAGACGAGCCCCTCTCGATGGCTACGATGTGCTGCCCCCCACGCTCCCCAGCTTGGCCTTGTAGCGTGTTCCCAGGGAGAGACCCAGAGGCTCCCGTGTCACTCTTTCATAAATCTGCCTCAGTGTGGACTTCCGGTGTCTAAAGAGCCACACCTAGTCTCCAGTGAAGTCAATAAAAACATGAATTACTCAAAAACATTTTCCCCTGACAGTACTTAAAGCGTCTTATATTTTAAATACAAAAAAAAAAAGATCCTTCATTTTTCAGAGTTGACCTTTGTGCAAAACTGGCCCTTCAGCACAGTGTCGGAACGTTCCCTCTCTCTGGTGTCTGTGCTGAGGGGCTCCAAGAGCCCCCGCTGGTGCATCGCCTGGTGCCAGAGGAAGCTGCTGTCCAAGGAAGGGGAAGGTTGCCCCAGGAGCCGGTGAAGGACTTTGCCCAGACTGAGAGAGCGCGTGGTAGCTTTGGATTTGAACCCACATCCTCTGACAGCAGGGCCTCCATGCCTAACCCCACGCAGTATTTATAAGAAATAAACCGGGGCTGGCAGGTGGCGTGGTGGTTAAGGGTACTGGACTCCCACATGGCCAACCGCTGTTTGAGCCCCAGACCTGGTGACTTGCTTTCTCCTTTTCTCTCTCTCACTCTGTTCCTCTCTGGTCAAATTAAAAAATAAATAAATAAAGTTAAATAAAATAATTCTTTAAAAACATAATTAAATAAAACAAAATAAACCCCAAGACCAGCAGGCATAATGGTAGCTAAGGCTCTGGATTCCCACATGGCTGGCCACAGTCTGAATGCCGGACTGGCAGGCTTGAACATACCAACAAATAAACAAATAAATGTTTTCTTGAAAAAAGAAAAAAAAAGAAATAAACCTTTACTGTATAAGGCTAGTCTGACTTGGAAATTATTATAGCAGTTAGCTTATGCTGACTAATAAAGCAAATAACTTCAAAAACTTTAAAAAAGAGAGAATGAATTTCAAGAACTTAGAAGAAAACAATGAAGAGCAGAAATTAATGAATTAAAAGCACATTCTAGGGGCCAACAGGTGGCATGGTGGTTAAGGTGCTGGAATTCCCACATGGCCAACCACGGTTCGAGACATGAACCTGGAAGCTTGTTCTCTCTCTCTCTCTCTCTTTCTCTGATAAAACTCACGTGAAAATAATAAGAAATAAATGAATAAAATAATTTTTTAAAAAGCACATTATAGAGAGGATGATCAAATTCAAAAATTGTCTTTCTTGAAATGGCTAATCATATTAACAACTCTGCAATTAATTGAGTGAAAAAAGGAATGTCAAAAATAAATATCAAGGATGACAAAGAGGACTCGTTAGAGATTCAGCAGACACAAAAGATACTATTAGGTCATTTGGAAAGTCATGAGGTATTTTTCTATGTATTTCTACACGAAAACGTATCATGACTTTCTTGACGACCCAATATTTAAAACTACAGGTGTAAAACTCACGCCGGGCGCGTGTGCGTGCGTGCCCAAGATCCCGAGAGGAGAACGGAGGAGAGGGGATTGCGGCATGGCCATCCCCCCTGGGGTGTGATTTCTGGCGAGCGCACGTGCCCTATAGCGAAAACCTCTAAAAAAAACAACAACAAAAAAAAACTATAGGTGAATGGAGGCTAGAGAGCTGCTGGTGAGAACAACGCCTCGAACCGGCTGCTGAGAGCCAGAGGCTGCCACTGGCCTGCAGGGGACTGTGCTTACCTCACTTACCTTTTTGTTCTTGGGCTTTCCTTAAATGGAATGATATCCCTGTCCTGTCTGCTTCACAGGATGTGAGTGCGAACACCCTGTGGGCAGCTCCACCACCTGGCTCCCCTCTGGGTCTCCTTCAGCGTCCTGTAGATGCCCGCTGAAGGCAGTTGGGCCCTGATGGGGTAGAGGAGACCTACTCCTGATCCGATTGCCTTCTGCCTGCCCCAGTGCAGCCACCAGAGCCCGCAGCTACTCACTTTTCCCTATTTTTTTTAAGATAGATTTTTTTGCTATAGGGCACATGTGCTTGCCAGAGAGACAGAGAGACAGAAAGAGAGAAATTACTCCTCCCCCCCCCCAGGAGGGATGGCCACACCAAAAATTCCTTCTCCATTCTCTTGGAATTTTCGGCATGCATGCACATGTGCCTCGTATAAATTTAAGCCTCCACATCCAGGACTCGAACCACAGTCAGCATACATGGGAGTTCAGTGACATAATCATTATGTCATCTGCTGGTCTCCCTGTGGATGTTTTTCCCAGCCCCAAAGTCTCAGGGTTTCCCAAGAATTATCCTCATTAATTTACCAATTCCCCAATTCTCTCGCCGATAGCTCCCAAAAGCCTACTATGCTGCTGTCTGGGTGCTGAGAGGATGGGATCAGCCTGTGTCCTAGAGCAGCCCCTGAGGTGGCAGGGGCAAGAGCCATGCAGGTGCATCATAGTTGGGTCCATGCTCGCCTCAATAAGCACAGGGTGCCACGGGAGTGCCTCAGTGGGGCACTGAACTCAGATTAAGGGAATCATGGGAAGCTTCCTGGAGGAGAAGGCACCTGAGAAGGATGGATGAGAAAATACAGCAAGGAGGAAGTTTCAGATAGAGGAGGAGCCAGTGGGCATTTGGGAAAAGAAGGAGGTGACATCGATGGGTCTTCATGACGGGATATCAGCTGAAAGGGACAGAGGTGTCACTCCTGGGGGTGGGGAGCAGAGATGAGATCATTTTAGAGACAACACATTGAGTATGGAGCATCTAAGAGCAAGCCTGGAAGGAAGTTGGGGGAGTCCGTGTTGGAGATGCACACTTGGGAGGCACCCCCTTCCCTCTGGTCTGGGAAGTGTGAGGTGCTCTGGGGTCAGTGTAGACTGAGTAGAGGGTTGCCCGTCCTTGGGTGGACAGGAAGGCAGGTAAGGGCCAAGTGCCCCCTGACAAGGGGGCATGAGCAGGTGGCCCTAGGTGGCATAGCAGGTTCTGCACGGGAGTTCGGAGGTGCAAGAGGCCAGTGCACGCTGGGCGCGGTGACAAGCTTTGCCAGGCTTCCTAGAGGACTGCCTCACCCGCCAGACAGCTCCCAGGAGGTGCTGGGCACTCTCCACACAGTGCAGGGACCCAGCCAGTCTGGGCCAAGCCTGGAGGGAGGGCCTGGGAGAGTATTCCCAGGCCATGGGCCCATGCAGAGTTGGAGGCCAGATAGGAGCTGCTGGTCCCTGGAGAGAAGGCCAAGGTTGTGGGATGTGCATGAGCCTTGCAAGCTAGTTAGAGGGGAGGACAAGGGTTTCCGGGGGTCACCAGAGCTGTCTCCTGGGGAGGGGGACTCAGGGTGAAAAGGAGGGCATTGCTGAACGTTGACCTACAGTCTTGGGAGGCCCATTTCAAGCACCACACTCAGAACCCTAGGCCTCATCCCACACCCTTTGTGGGGCTGAGGAGGGGCTGCAGCTAGCCAGGTCCAGCCCTGAGACAAACAGCCCCAGGGCTAGCTCAGAGCCCAGGGTACTCATGGAGAGCACCTGGTCCAATGCCCCTGGGGACAGACAAGGCCCAGAGAGGGGAAGGGCTTACCCGGATCCCACGGCAAGTTAGTGGGGAACTTGCGGTTTACTGTTCTCTCTGCTCTCGCCCCAGGGCTGGCTCTGTCCTGGCACTGAGGCTGCAGATGCTATGGGCCCCCACGGGCGATCCTGGTGTGTGCTGAGTCCTGCCCCATCCTTGACCAGTTGTGTGCGCTGGGTGGGTTCACCCCCTGAGCCCAGCTGCCGTCTGTAAGGGATCATAACAAGGCCTCCCCCAGGCTGTCGTGAGGACTCAGTGTCACTCCAGACCCTGACACTACTACCGTTTCTGAATTCCCCACACCCCCAGATTAAGGCCAGCAAGGCCCGCCTCTGCGACATGCCGGGGAGTAGCTACGGGCTCTGCTGGCTGCACTGGAGCAGGCAGGAGTAGGGGAATCCAGTCATGTAAGGACCAGGAGCCCCAGGGAGAGCAGACGGGGTGGGAGGGGTGAGCAGAGCTGGGAGGGAGAAGTCAGCCCCTCCTAAGTCTGTAAGTCCTTGGTCCCTGGTGTCTACTGGCCTGTCATCCCAGACCTGACCACTAGATGGGGCCACAGGCCTTGCAGTGGGGTCGGAAAAGCCCTACGCCCAAGGTGGCAAATGGAAAGGAGAAAAGCTCCTTCACAGAAACTGGGGAAGCGTGAGGGGCACAGGAGGTGGGGCTGGAGTGATGAGCACCTCCTCCCTCAGCCCCCCTTCCCCAGGTTTCCCTGGGGAAAGCTGCATGCTAACCCTGAGAGCCCTGCATCTGGCCCTGGGTGAGGCCTGTCTCCTGCCCTGGCCTCTCCCTTCACCGCCTTCCACAACCCTCCCCAGGGCAGACCCTCAGCCTGGGCTCCTCCAGAGGTCAAGGCCTGGCCCTGGGTGTCACTGAGAGGGACTTCAGAGCGCAGGTCCATGGGCCGCCCCTGGGAGGTCCCGAGGCCTGGATGGCACACGGGTGAGAAGAGAGTCACACGGGCCCTAGGTGGCACCCAGCCTGGTACCTTCTGCCCCCTCCTGCTGCCCCAGGCCTGTCCCTGCCCTCCTAGCTCTCCTTTTCTACCCCTGCCGAGCACTGGGGAGGAGGGACGAGCAGAGGCCAGCCCAAATGACAGACCCTCCTCTCTGCTTCTCTGGTCCAGGGCTGGGGGGGAGGCTAAGGAGGGATGCCAAGGTCATGATCAAAGTGGAGTTCCCTTGGAGCCTGGGTTTGGATGGCCCGGACAGGATTGCAGAGTGTCCCATCAAGGGGACAGGGCTGGAGGCAGGAAACAGGCCAGGTTTAACCTGGAGTTCTGGCCAGGAGCTGCCATTGGGCTCCCTGGCAAGATGGAGTCAGGCCAGTCCCTCCACCCTTGCCCACCTCAGCTGGGGAGCTGGCCAGAAGGGCAGAGCGGCACCTCAGGGTGTGGCTTCCACTGCTGACAGCTCTGTCGCACTCCGAGGACACGGCGTCCTGGGTGAGGCACCTGGGATGTGGGACACAGGCTCAGCGAGGGTGGGGTCCCCTGGGGAAAGGGGGGCCAGGAGCTCCTCCCAAGCAGCTGGCTGTGGTGGATGGTACAGGTTGGCCTGGTTGGAAGCTGCCAGCCCACAGCTGCTGGGGGCCCCTCCCAGCTCTTAGTGGTCTGCTCACCCTTGCCCAGCAAAGCCCAGACCCCTGCAGTGTCCCCTCCTTGGTGGACATCCCCCCTCCCCAGGAAACAGCCCTGCCCCTCTGTCCCCTTACCTCCCCTCCCCACCCGCGTGAAAGGGCGCCCTAAGGCAGGAGCCACCGCTCGGGCTGTGGGCACCTCAGAAGCCAGCCTAGACTGCAGCTGAGCACCATTGCTCACGTCTGCAGGGTGACAGACTCGGGAGCTCCAGCCCCTCTGGGTGCCCATTGGCCCTGCTGTCCTGCCCCGTCTCTGACTCCAGACTCAGCACAAAGGCTGGAATAGACGTGCTGCTCTGGGAGCCGTGGCGCTGGGCAAGGTGTGGGCAGAGGCCAGGTCCGCGGGTGGGGTGCTCGGACACCCAGCACTGACAGTCGCTGCAGGCCTGATGGCCGTTCCTGGCTCCCTGGCTGCTGCTCCCTGGTGCCAGGCAGAGGACAGGTCCCACTTCTGCTGAGCGCACTGTTTTCAGGCCCTGCTGGGAGCTGTGTGTGTTCTGCTTTGAGTTTTTAATGATCAGGGAGTTGGTCCACGCTGGCTCATCCTGGCACAGACTGGCACTGCCAAACTCCCCGAGCAGCCCCTGCAGCCGTGGGCCCCACCCTCTGCCCCAGGGGCCTTCTGGTTCTTCTCTGGTGGGTCCCACGGTGGAGGTCGGTAGTGTGGGCCTCCTTCCTGGAGCTGGGGGGAGGTTGGACTTGTTCATGCAGCCGGGACAGCTCAGCATGGGTGGGTGGCAGGGGCCCGTCATGCCACCTCAGAGCAAGTATGAGGTTAGCGAGGGCAGAGGATGGGTTTGGCCCGGGGAGGACAGCGAGGGGAGCTCTCAGCTCTCGTGGGTAGGAGAGCTGTGGCTGGGTTGTCTTTTGGGGGGCTTTGGCTAGTGGAGCCACGCCCCTCCCAGTCAGGGAGCCAACCACCAGGAGCCCTCCTCATCTAGGGCCCTGAAGGGCTGCCCCATTCCCACCAGGGGGTGCCTGGGCCCTTGCTGTGGGACTTCCCCACCGGGCCTGGGAGGCTGCGTTCCCCTGGCAGCAAGCCGCCCGCCCCCCACCTGCGTCAGGGGAGCTGTCTGCGCTTGCAGCCAGCTTCCCAAGCGATGAGACACAGCTCCCAGCTTGCCTCCCCAAGCCACCGGCAGGGCACACCCTGCTCCCCAAGCATGTAGACACAGCTCCCAGCTTGCCTCCCCAAGCCACCGGCAGCTCACACCCTGTCATCCGGGGCGGTGCAGCTCCTGGGTGCTCCCAGAGCCCCTGTCTGCGGGTGGCCTGTGACGGCCCCAGCCAGCCACAGACCTAGGCCCTGGCCCTCTGAAGGAGAGAGACCACGAGGACCATGGAGAAGTGAGGCAACAGGCCAGCGAACCCACCCCTGGAAGCCCTGGCAATTCTCCCAGCCACAGGCCCAAGCCCTGAGGGAGGGTTCGGGGCCGGAAAGGGACCAGAGAGAGTTAGCGCAGACCTGGCCTCCGCAGGTCTCTGTGCAGCCTTCGGGTTGGAGCCGGGCCTGCGCAGAGGCAGATTCTGGTAAAAATGTGCACACGCAGGTGGGTGTGTCTGACCTTGGCTTCTGGACAGAAAATCCTGCTTGGCACTCCTGCTGGGACAAAGAGCCACACCCACCCCACAGTGCCCGCAGACTCCTCAGGCCTTTGTGCAGGAGGCCACCTGCCTGGTGGCCCTGACTCACAGTTTCCCTGCAGGCCGTCTCCCGTGGAAGGATTCTTGAGGAACACTTCACATACATTAAAATGCATGGACCTCGGGGTCACTTCTGATAAACGGGCAACATTTATCAAAACATCAAGTCACCCCTGAGGGTCCCTCCCCAGACATCGTACCTATGGGCAGGCCCATGCCAGAAGCGGCACCAGGTTCCAGTTTGCCCATGAAAGCCTCTTCTTGATAGGCTTGCCTTCCTTGTACACAGAGACCATCGCACGCTCTCCTTTCTCGAGGTCTCTGGGTGCCCAGGCTCTCGGTTGTGGTCAGAGACTTCCCTGGGCTGGGACAGCCCCACCGAGTTCGCAGGTTCAGGCTGACTGCACTCTCCCCGCAGCCTGCCTCCCTGCCTCCCTGCCTCCCTGCCTCCCTGCCTCCCTGCCTCTGCTGTGGTGCCTCCTGCAGCCCACGGTGCCCAGGAAGGTGGAGAGTCCAAGCTGGGGCGCTGACTGCTGAGGCTCGAGCAGATCCTGCTGGGAGCCCTGAGGCTCTCACCCCACGGCAGCAGTGGCCCTTGAAGCTGTTGGAGATGTGACTCGGTGGCTGGCCCTGCCCTGTGCCCAGTCCCCAGTCTACGAAACGAGGAGGTTATGATGTGACTTCAAGCCTCTGGGTTACCAAGAACATTCCAAACAATGGCCTTCGCAACCCTAACACACAAAGGAGTGGCCACTCAGAGCTGGGCCCCTACAGGCCCCACCTACAGCACCAGTCTGCCCCCGGGTCCCCGCAGCTCCAGGTCAACCCAGGGGGATCTCTGGGTTCCACGACATACTCTTTGAAGGTCCTGGCAATGGGGCCTTGCTTCAGAGAGCATGCATAGATCTCAGAGTTTGATGGGCACCCCGAGACACCCCCTTACCACGAGGGGGAGGCAGCGGTGGGCAGGTTGTCCCCTGCCAGGAAGAGGGAGAGGAAGCGGCCACTGTGCCTGAGCACTTACGGTGTGCCATCAGCCACGTGGGATCTGCTGCTACTCCACTTTGCAGGGGGACCCGCCCGGGGTTGCACAGCCCGCTCCGGGCAGAAACTCCCACTACCTCCCGGAATGTCAGGTCCCGGTGGGCGAGGAGACCGGTAGGGTGGGAGGTTTGCATCACCCAACAGTCACTCAGCAAGCATGCCAAGCAGCGGAGGAGAGTCCAGTCACTGCCCTCAGGGCGGCAGGACATGGGCTGGACCAGAGGTGGCCAGCGGTGCACGCAGGGAGGATGGGCCCTGGGCCTGGGGGATGCCATTGCGCAGGTCAGGCAGGAAGCAGAGGACGGACTCCCGGAGCTGGGACTCTCAGCGGGAGGAACCCTGCAGCCCCACTGCCCCGGGTATCCCCACCTCTCGGGCTCTTTAGGAGAGCTGTGTCTGCTCCCCTAAGAAGGGGAAGCTCTGGAAGGGCATGGCTCACCTGGTCTACTTGCCACTCCCCCAGAGCCTGCCACTGTCGCTCCTTACAAATATGTGTGGAATAAAGTCATGGGGAAGAGATCTGAGGCTAGACCTCATGGCCCGGAATCCCCCAGGGCTGGAGATCCAGAGGGACCTTTTCTGTTCTTTTTCTCCTCTCCCTCTTCTTCTCTCCTCCTCTCCCTTTCCCTCTCTCCTCTCTCTTCTCCCTCGGGGGGGACATACTTGCTGTCCTACCTTTAGCCTAGAGCCTGGGCCTGGGGGATGCCATTGCGCAGGTCAGGCAGGAAGCAGAGGACGGACTCCCGGAGCTGGGACTCTCAGCGGGAGGAACCCTGCAGCCCCACTGCCCCGGGTATCCCCACCTCTCGGGCTCTTTAGGAGAGCTGTGTCTGCTCCCCTAAGAAGGGGAAGCTCTGGAAGGGCATGGCTCACCTGGTCTACTTGCCACTCCCCCAGAGCCTGCCACTGTCGCTCCTTACAAATATGTGTGGAATAAAGTCATGGGGAAGAGATCTGAGGCTAGACCTCATGGCCCGGAATCCCCCAGGGCTGGAGATCCAGAGGGACCTTTTCTGTTCTTTTTCTCCTCTCTCCCTCTTCTTCTCTCCTCCTCTCCCTTTCCCTCTCTCCTCTCTCCTCCCTCAGGGAGGGGACATACTTGCTGTCCTACCTTTAGCCTAGAGCTACCCCCGGACTGAGGGCAAGTGGGGCCAGAGGATCTGAGGTCGAGACGTGGGAGAGGACAGCTGATGGGCTGGGGGTGCCAGAGAAGAATAGGGGGGTCTTGTGGCCAGGGGGTCCGTACAGAACCTAGTAGAGGTGTGTAGGAGGAGCTCAAAGTTATTGAACAAATGAGCAAATGAATGAGAGCCTTCTTGTGTCCCCACGTCCACGCCAGTGTCCTCACCGTGACGCTCGTTTTCTCCATCCGGAGAGTGCCGTGGGGTTGCACAGTGGCTGGGGACACATACTGCACCTGCCTCCTAGAAAAAGGACAGAAAGTGTCTTGAGGATTTTGATACTGGTTACATAGTGAAATGACCTCCCTTTTTGGATTAAAAATAAAAACTATTAAAATTCATTTCACCTATTTCTTCGCTAAACGCGGTCCCCAGAACCCATAAGCTCCATACGTGGTTCCCATTGCACCTCCGCGGGTCATGGTGACCCCTGCACCCTGCTCTGGAATCCTGGGGCCGTCCAGCAGCAGCACATTCCACCCTCTGACTGGAGGAGTTTGGGGCCCACACCAAGGGCCTGTGAGTAGGGTCAGACGGCCAGAGGCCCAGAGCAGTCCCAGACTCACAGCCCGGCCAAGCTGGTGAAGAAAGCAAGCCCAGGGAGGAGGCCTGGCTGTCCCAGGCCACCACTGGCGTCCTGATCCGAGTAGGATTCGGGTCTGGGGAAGAAGGCAGCTAACATGGCGGTAAGGACAGGGGACAGCGGGGAGAGCCTTCCTGGTCAGGCACTGTCTCCGTGCAGTCTCCCTTATGCCATGGCAGATGTGGGGTAGATAGCGTTATCTCCGTGGTGTGTCTGAGGAGTCGGAGGCGCTGAGAGGTTAACTAGCCCAGCCTGCGTCACGTTGCTAGTAGGTGTCAGAGTCATGATCCAAATAAAGTTTATGGGACTCCAAAGCCTGTACTCTTCACCTCTAGTGTGTTCCACGAGGAGTTCCATCCACGGAATGGGAGGAATGCGCTTCAGAGCTCGGAATCACCACAGACCCAGGACGATGTCCTCTGGAGATGTTTTGGTTCCCTCTGCATGCCTGGGCCAAGAGTGCTCCCGGGCAGCGTGTGGTGGGAGGGCCTGGAGGGCTGCCCGGTGGGTAGGTGGTGGCCAGGACTCGAAGGCCGGGGCCCCTGCGCAGGGTTGGTTCTGCTCTCCAGGAATGGTCAGGCGTTTCCAGCTGGGGTACCAACACCCAGGTACAACAGGCAGCGGGCCCAGCGCAGAGCCCCTGGGCTGCGGGTCCCAACGCCCTGGGCTCCGGGGAAGAGAGGGAGACCAAGACCATTTTATGGCCACTTGCTATGTAATTAATGACTTAATGACTTTTGGGGAGAGCCATTTATGATCTCTGAGAGCATGACCCCAATCAAGGGCTGAGTCTCCGTGCCCTGCAGGTGTGGGTGGGAGTAGTCGCCACCACATCTTTGCCAGCTGCTTCCCTTTAGGTTTCTGGGCCCTTCCTCTCATGGGCGCAGGGACCTCAGCCTGCACCAGGCTCTGCCCACTGCTGCCACGAGCGGGACCCCAGTGCCTGGCCCTTGTCTTGTGGTTGGGAGCGGCAGGCACCAGTCACTGCTCCCTGCCCTGGCTAGTGTCATTGCCACTCCGGCTCGTCATGAAGGTGCGCCGTTGTTTTCACACACACAGTTACAAGGTCCTACCTCTGAGCCATTGTGGGGACCGTCCTCATTCTGCCTGGGGGTGTCCCTGCAGAGTTCTGCCCCAGGGGGGCCAGGTCTGAGCCCTGCAGTTGGCGTCCCAGTCTCTCCAGAAGTGCCAGTACCGAGCGTCTGCCTTCCCTGCCTGTCTCCCGCTAGCTAACCTCAGTTCCTCATCCATACAATGGATCACCACCTACTCTGCAGATCCGGAAGGTTCGGTAAGAACACTGAGGCTCAGAGGTAGCACGAACGCCCCGTACTGCTGGAAGCCGTATGGTGACTGTGGTCTGAACCCGGGGTCAGCCAGAGGAACTAGAGGGCTGGGGAAGGGTAAAGGGTGATGGATTCCCACATGGTCAACCACGGTTTGAGTCCCGGACCCGGCAGCTTGCTTCCTTACTTGCCCTCTCTCTGTCTCTGGTCAAATTGAAATAAATAAAGTTGAATAAAATAATTCTGTAACAAAAAAAAAAAAGAAAGTAATAAACCACCCCAAATCCCTCCAGCCAGAAAAACACAACACAGATACTTGTCGAATGTCAATCTTGATATATCTCAAAATGCAAATGCAGATAGAACGGCTGTCAGGGAACAGGCAGATCACTGGATAAGAATGGGGTCCTACTTTTAAAAAGTATGAAATATGAAGATAGTAAGTTTACTCACACATGCATATAATAGAAAAAATGCAAAATAAAGCTGAAGGCATTCTTCTACCTCAAATATTTCTTATCCTCAAGAGACGTTTGTGTCTTTAAGATCCTTCTATGGGACCAGTAGGTGGCAGGAAGGTTAAGGTGCTTGATCACACATAGCCAGTTTTGCAGTTCAAGTCCCAGACACAGCAGTTTGAGAATCACACCAGGGTGTGTGTGTACCCAAAACCCCAAGAGAAGAATGGAGGAAAGGAAATTACAGCATGACTATCCCCCCTGGGTTCTCTCTTCTTGAGTTCCTTAGCTCAAATCATTCATGGTTTCTGGGCTTTTATCAACAGGTTATACTTTCCTTTTTTTTTTTTTTTTTTACCATGGTTGACTACATGTGAGTCCAGTGACTCAAATATTACTTATGCCAACTGTTGGTCTCTTTTTTTTTTTTTTTAAGAGAGATTTTTTGCTGTAGGTCATGTGTGATCCATGGAGAGACAGAGAGAGAGAAAGTGAGAAATCACTCCCCCAGGGGGGATGACCACACCGTAATCCCTTCTCCTCTCAGATTTTGGGCATAGACACTCACGCACCCAGCATGTGTTTTAAGCCATCGAGTCCAGGATTCAAACTGCAGTTGACTGCGTAAGTCCAGAGATGTAACCGTTACACCATCTGCTGGTCCCCAGGTTATATTTTAAAGAGGGTGTAGCAGATTGAGGCTGCTGCCGTTACCTTTAGGCCTGAACACGCTTCCCCTAGTGCAGAGTCTATAAGGCATATGCTTTCTCTCACTCCCTCTTCAGTGAACAAAGCTTTATTGGCTTCCGACCCTGCACTGGAGACTCTGCACTGAACTTGCATCTTCCCTCTTGTAGCTACTTGTTATTGCTAATACTGCCTGGATGCTTGAAATATTCTTTATGCTTTGACATCCAATAACTTCCACAGTATGTATGTCAGTGTTGGTCACTCTCTAGCTTTTTCTCTGGTATGCCATGGGCCTCATTCGTTCATTCACTCATTCATTATTTCTTCCATAGAGAGAGAGAGGAAGACCTCTGGCAGAGTCTTCATGCCTTGATCCTCTCCACTCTCAGACAGCCCATCATGCCCAGGGAGGTCCTGGGATACAAACTCAGGACTTGGCCATGTGGGCCCAGTTATGTTACTGGATTACATGTAGTGCCACCACCTGGCTCCCATATGTCCCTCCTATCTGCAAATCTAGCTCTCTATTTAAGAGAAACATGTTTTTATATTATAACCTCCAATGTGTCTTTTATAGTTATTTATTTAATTTTATTTATCTTTTTTTTTTTTCAATTTGCTACAGGACACGTGTGCTTACCAGAGAGAGAAAGTGAAAAAGCAAGCCACCAGTCCAGGACTTGAACTACAGTCAGCCATGTGGGAGTCCAGCACCTGTAACCACCACACCACCTGCTGGCCCCACCTCCAATATCTTTTCTGTTTCATTTTTGTGTGGTTCTCTATGTTAGGAATATTCATTATCTTATTGTAGCTCAGTTTTAGTTACCTATTTTGCCTTCCAAAACTACCATCTTCTTTCTAATTGCTTTAGCCTCTGCCTCTTGTTCTCTGCATTGATCGTAATGGTGTTGAACCTTCCCTCTCTACTGTTCTATTCTGGGCCTCATATGTTATTGTTATTGCTAAATCAGTTATTAAATATATCATCATATTTAATTCTCTATTTGTTTTTCTAACCCTGCAATCTCTTTTCACCTCATTTGGTTTTATAATGATCTAGTCTTTGACTTCATGTTGTATTACTGTACTCTAAAACATGAAACGCTAGTGAGGAGTCTGTTTCTGTTTTTAGCTTAAGCTTTCTTCCAGACTGGATTCTTCTTCACCTGTCTCTTTCATTCTATGCTCTCGCCTCCAGTCTCCCCGCCCCCATGGCTATTTCCATAGTTGCTGTGCTACTTCTTTTTATATTGCTTATGCGAACACGAGCAGCTCTGTACACACCCTTTGTTTGCTTTGATATAAAGCTGGTGAGTCACATTTGTCTTGCAGAGGTCCCTGGATTGCCTCATATACACAAGCCTTGCCCTCATGCCTGCAGGCCCCCTCAGAAATACGGACCAGCTTCCTTCTCCAGCCTTGCTGCTGTTCCCTGTGCTCCAAACTGGATTCCTGAGTGCTGACTACAGTAACTGGAAGTCGAGGCTCTATTAAGTTCTCAGGTCCTGCAAGACTTTTTTCTAATTACGGAGGATTCTGAGAGGCAGCTCTGGGAGTTATTGAAGACAAAACAAGATAAAGTGTGTTGAAGTCATAGTAAGAGAAATGAAAAATTACTTAGACAACATAACTTGCTAAATTCTAAGAGTTTGGGGCCAGCAGGTGGCATAGTGGTTAAGGTGCTGAACTCCCACATGGCTGACCACAGTTCAAGTCCCAACCCTCTGACTTGAAACTCTGGGTGTGCCAAAATGCCGAGAAGAGAATGGAGGAGACAGGATTGCAGTATGGCCATCCCCCCTCGGGAGGTGGTGGTGGTGGTGATTTCTCACTTTCTCTGTCTCTCTGTCTCTCAAGTGCATGCGCCCTATAGCAAAAAATCTCTAAAAAAAAAAAAAATCTAAAATTTTACTTGCTACTCGGGTGCAAGTAATTTTACAACAGCAAACACCTTGGGATTCTTCCAGTGTGGAAAGGGATTTCGTTTATCCCATCTTCTCTATGTTCAAAGTTCACTTTGCCACGTCCTACACCTCACGACCATCCTATCAGGAAAAGTATTCTTGAACATCCCACCACCACCACCATCATGTGTGAAATACCCAGCTGAACTTCCCACTAGTCCTCTCACACTGTTCCAGATCTGTGATTCCTTTTACAGATGCGAAAACTGGAGCTCAGAGCCGTTGGGTCACTCGTCCAAGGACACAGACTGGTGAGCTTCCGAGACAGCACCCAGCACCGGCATTGCCATCCGGGCTGGCATGAAAGGAATGTGGATGACTTTAGAAGAAACTGGAGAATACGCTGGAACTTGTCAGGAGCTAGAAATCAAGAAGGTGTTGAAGTGGCAGATTTAGTAGTGAGAGGGGGTTCTGCAGATATTCCCCCCTAAATGGAAAATGGAGACTTCAATGGATAGTTTTACATCCCTGTTCCCGGAAGCATTATCCCCAATAACCAAAAGACAGAAAGAACCCAGATGCCTGTCGACGGCTGAACGGGGTAAACACGATGTGGTGTATCCATATAATGGAATATTCTTCAGCCTTAAAAAGAAGGGAGGGCTGGGGGGCGGGGGGCAGCAGGTGGCCTGGTAATTAAGGTGCTAGATTCCCACATGGTCCACCATGGTCCAAGCCCTGGATCTGGCAGCTAGAAAGTTACACCGGGTGCACGTGTGTGTGCGTGTCTAAAGTCCTGAGAGGAGAAGGGAGGAGAAAGGAGTGCAGCGTGGCCATCCCCCCTGAGGGGACGATTTCTCACTTTCCAGCTCTTAGTCTCTGTCTCTCTCGGGTGAGCACACACAGCCTATGACAAAAAACTTAAAAAAAAAAATAGGAAAGAGGGTTGGCCCCATAATGCAATGGTTAGACACTGTGCAAAGGAACCTGGCTCCCACCTGGCTGGCCAAGGCGCAAGCTCCAGCCCCTGCAGCTTGAAAAACGCACTCGGCACACGTGCATTTTTCCAGGATCCTGAAAAGATTGGAAGAAAAATGGATTGCATTGTGACGTTATCAGGTCTCGTTGCAAGGTGCTCTCTCTCTCTCTCTCTCACTATCTCTCATGTATCTGCATCCTCCCTATGACATTAAAAAAGGAAGAGAAAAAAAAAGGAAGGAAATTCTAATAAATACTAGAACAAGGGTGAACCGTTGTATTACTGTACTCTAAAACATGAAACGCTAGTGAGGAGTCTGTTTCTGTTTTTAGCTTAAGCTTTCTTCCAGACTGGATTCTTCTTCACCTGTCTCTTTCATTCTATGCTCTCGCCTCCAGTCTCCCCGCCCCCATGGCTATTTCCATAGTTGCTGTGCTACTTCTTTTTATATTGCTTATGCGAACACGAGCAGCTCTGTACACACCCTTTGTTTGCTTTGATATAAAGCTGGTGAGTCACATTTGTCTTGCAGAGGTCCCTGGATTGCCTCATATACACAAGCCTTGCCCTCATGCCTGCAGGCCCCCTCAGAAATACGGACCAGCTTCCTTCTCCAGCCTTGCTGCTGTTCCCTGTGCTCCAAACTGGATTCCTGAGTGCTGACTACAGTAACTGGAAGTCGAGGCTCTATTAAGTTCTCAGGTCCTGCAAGACTTTTTTCTAATTACGGAGGATTCTGAGAGGCAGCTCTGGGAGTTATTGAAGACAAAACAAGATAAAGTGTGTTGAAGTCATAGTAAGAGAAATGAAAAATTACTTAGACAACATAACTTGCTAAATTCTAAGAGTTTGGGGCCAGCAGGTGGCATAGTGGTTAAGGTGCTGAACTCCCACATGGCTGACCACAGTTCAAGTCCCAACCCTCTGACTTGAAACTCTGGGTGTGCCAAAATGCCGAGAAGAGAATGGAGGAGACAGGATTGCAGTATGGCCATCCCCCCTCGGGAGGTGGTGGTGGTGGTGATTTCTCACTTTCTCTGTCTCTCTGTCTCTCAAGTGCATGCGCCCTATAGCAAAAAATCTCTAAAAAAAAAAAAAAATCTAAAATTTTACTTGCTACTCGGGTGCAAGTAATTTTACAACAGCAAACACCTTGGGATTCTTCCAGTGTGGAAAGGGATTTCGTTTATCCCATCTTCTCTATGTTCAAAGTTCACTTTGCCACGTCCTACACCTCACGACCATCCTATCAGGAAAAGTATTCTTGAACATCCCACCACCACCACCATCATGTGTGAAATACCCAGCTGAACTTCCCACTAGTCCTCTCACACTGTTCCAGATCTGTGATTCCTTTTACAGATGCCTGGACTGGAGCTCAGAGCCGTTGGGTCACTCGTCCAAGGACACAGACTGGTGAGCTTCCGAGACCCAGCACCGGCATTGCCGCATTGCCGTCCGGGCTGGCATGAAAGGAATGTGGATGACTTTAGAAGAAACTGGAGAATACGCTGGAACTTGTCAGGAGCTAGAAATCAAGAAGGTGTTGAAGTGGCAGATTTAGTAGTGAGAGGGGGTTCTGCAGATATTCCCCCCTAAATGGAAAATGGAGACTTCAATGGATAGTTTTACATCCCTGTTCCCGGAAGCATTATCCCCAATAACCAAAAGACAGAAAGAACCCAGATGCCTGTCGACGGCTGAACGGG